CACTTTGGGCATTCAAGATTCAGACAATTAGAAAAATAAGTGTGGTATGTGCAACAACCATTTCTTTATAATGGAAGACAATTTTAAATAAAAGTACTCTCCTCACAACAAGAACTCGACTTTTACTGTGACTGTACGTGAGGGTTTGATTATATCTTTATTGATATAATTTCTAAATTTATTACTGAGAAACGGTGGTCCTTTTTTATTCAACAAACGGTACCACTTTAATATAAAAATATTACAATTTAATACTACAATTAGTGATTACTAACACAAACAACCGCCAGTAGGGCCTCGTTTCTGCTAGTATATATAATGTGTGATACTGCACGTAGTAAACAAATCATGAACAGTATCATTACGAGCAAGAAACGTGCTGTATAGCCTAATTTTCTGCAGTAATATTGTAAAATTATTTCTAAGGTCAAGTGATATACCTAATACACCTTTTTTGTGACTTAAAATTTGTTTTGTTTGACTTTCAGAATACCTTTGGTGCAATTTGAGACGAACATCATTAGACCCCGCTCTTCAATAGGTAAGCAACAATGGGACTATTTTTCTCGTGAAAGACTAATTTCACGATTGGTGAGTTAGCGTAAAAAAAAAAACTTGCACAGACATTGATCTTAGATATATAATGGTGATTATTATTTCAGTATTCACAACCTCGGCGATTGACTTGTGTACTCAATCTGATAGTTGGGTTCTAAAAAAAAACTTTAACAGCAGAGATAACGTCATGTAATCTAAGATGGAAACTTTACCCACGAAAGCTGGTGGCCAGATGGCCTTTAGATAATTCCAATCGTTAATTAAATGTTTCGATCTCCATGGATAGTTATATATTATCTTTCGAATTAAAATTGAAAAATGGCCTTATATATTTATCAGTAGAAAGGAAAGCGTTAAAGACTATGATGTTTAATAGATATTATATGAATTAGCTCTTGAAAACAGGTAGCAAAAAAAGTACAAAGATATATTGTGGAAAATTCTAACACGATCTTTGAGGTATCTCCAATAGTAGGAACCACATAGCAGTAGGAATGCATAATGTACAGATTTATCCTCTTATCTGCCAGTCTAATAAACTGCGTAAAAAAGAAAGTGTAGATGTGAATGCTTTAAGCCTACCAACGTGTCACTGTCTACAACCAGTTGTGATTATCAAGATCTTTGGGGTGTTAAGAAAACTTATTCTCCTGAGTTTCGTGTTCGTTCTATATAATGATCGGAATAAAATTTAAACATAGTGAACATCAGACGAAAATATTCGTGAAATTTAATGCTTTAAATATGAAAATTATCTCGATCAAAACTAAGTAGCGTTACACCCCTCCTCCGCCTATTGCTAATCAACAACGCTCAAGTGAAACACTACTTACCTATATATATGTAACACTAACTGTTTTCGTATTTGCTTATGATTCAAACCAGATCGGATATCCGCAGAGTTAATTCTTTAACAACAATATGTAAAAAAAAAACGTATGTAAATAAACCCGAAATTACAACCTACTTTATCATTAGATACTATTACAAAATCAAAAGGTAAGTGAACTTAAAACTTATTAACATAATAAAGATCAAACTTATTCCTACTAAAAACAAATACCAAGTTTAGTTAAAGCTGTCAATTAAACTTTTACATGACTGTATTTGGATATAACGAAAGCTAAAATACATTTTATATAGATATACACTTGATTCTAAAACAAAAAATCTGGTGTTGTCTAGTGGTTAGATTACCGGTTTGTGAATGCAACGGTTCGCTGCCACAAAATTACGTTTCGCACTTTGAGGCCATAGGTGCTTTAGAAAAGTGACTGTGAAATCATGCTTTTCAATAGAATAGCCCAATAATTGGCGATGGGTGATGTTGATTAGTTGCCTTTTAGCCGCCTGTCAGTTCAAAATTAGAGCTGGCTAGCGTAGTTAGCCGGAATGTTGCTCTTCACGAATATTCGAAACAAACTTAGTAAAGTTACTGATTAAGTTTTTACAAAAATCTTGAAAATTAATCCACTTCTCCTTGATTTTTCATACTTTTTCGTCAGTTTGTTTCCCAATATGATTAGAACAACTATATTCACAATATAAGGATTAGCGATACACTTATTACTGTCAAGGAAATTTTAATTTAAGCTGTAGGGATTCAAAGTTTGATTTTAGAATGTCGTTGTATTTACGATGGAGTCCTATGTACTTCGTCCTCTAGTGGGTCAGCGATAAGTTTACAAACTTATAACGCCAAAATCCAGAATTCGATTCTCCTCGGTGGGCAGAGTGCAGAAAGTTCACTGTATAGCTTTGCACTAAAAACACAACAACAACAACTTAGTTATAACAAGATTTTTAAAAGAGTGAATCCGAAAATGTTCCATTTCTATTGAATTGACATTATTATGTTCACTTTGAGATCCAACTTAAGCTTATTCCAACTCGCAACGGATTCGAAGTTTGACTAACGCGTTAAAATTACTTAAGGCACAAGTAAGAAGATGTGCTTAGTTTTTAATCGACAAAAAATGAACATTCTTTGTTTTAAGTTATAGGCTGATTAATATTTAAGAAAACAAAACAAACTTAGAGAAGTTTTGTTATCCCCCTCATTGATTTGTTTTTGACAAGATTCTGTTAGTTGTGAGTAGCCATCGTCCTATTTATGGGTGCAAAGCGTGAAAAATGTCCATTTAATGATCCAAATCGTGAAAGTTTCATGTTTATTGATGCAAAGCTGAACGTTGGTAACTATGTGTGACAGTATAAGCTTGTTTAACCACATTTGTTCCTTAGTTTGTGAGGTAAGCGAATAGGTACCCAAGACTTGCATATATATACCTCTAAAACAAAAATGCAGTTTATTGTATTCAGTTTTGTGAACTGTACCTTGGCTTTATTTGTTTTGTTCTTGTGTGTCATAACATTACACCGTTATATTAAACTCTAGTTCTTTCACAAGAAAGAAAAGGCATGATATTAAATATTGTTTCTAGAAATACGTTAACATTCATTAAATCGATATCAGTGAACCTGAGCGATAACTGTTATGTTAGATGTTTGTCAAAGATCTTATACTTGACCTTTATTATGTTGTCAAACTGCGCACTAAAGTTATCTAGATTGGAACAATTTTGTCTTATCACGTTAGGCGGAGTTCAGCGTGATTGGAACAGATAACATGTATATATAGATTTACCATAAGTTGTGTTTCGACAATATAACAAGTGTTCTTGAAAAAAAAGGGAAAAAAATCAACTTTATTAAAGTAAAAGCATCTGAAATTCAAATATAAATCTTACTGATTTGAAAAACGAAATCATAGACGATAGTCCTACAAAAAGATATTGATTAAAGTTGTTGATCATATGTATATGTACTCGATGTTAACTTTATCTGTTCCGTTTTCCTTATCATAACTAAAGTATACTGTTTATGGTGTTATGGGTCAAACCATTGATTTCTTGGCGTTAGGAAAACACCTTTGTGTAAACAAGTTAAACATTATGATTTCGGTTGGGATTATTTGAAATTTATAGTCCCACTGGTAAATCAGTTGTAAAAAAAAATGAAAAATAATTGGGAATTTAAAAAACTGCAAGTAGGGATTGTAAAAGTAAAGAAACAAGGCTAGAAATACTGTAGACATTATTTACTCAAACTACAAACCTCTATTTTGTTTCCATGCTGTTACCTAGAATTTTAATTATCTTGTTTGTTGGCTTTTTTTTTATGCTGAACTATGGGCGAAGGATTACTTGATACGGTAATGATAATAAACATAACTAGTAGCTAGCTGATACGGTTCGTGATGGTTTAATGTTAAGCTGCAGCTGGAGATTGTCATGGAGATTCGTTTGAGAATATGGTGAGCATTTATAGTTTCTGTGTAACTAACTTCTTTATATATAATGCACAGAAATGGGCAAATATATGCTTAGACTAAGACACAACTCCCACTAAGCGCTTATAAAATTTTACCAGTAGAAAAGCAGCCTTTTAAAATAAAACATGTACGTCTAAAACATCGTTTTAAATAAACCTTCGTGTCTTTTATAGTAATTATTCTAGGAATGTGTATGATAAAATTTAATATAACGTGTATATTTTTTATTTTTTTACTTCTTCACTTCATATATAATATAAAGGTCGGCATCCTAAAGACACCGATTTTATAGTATACAAAGCAGTGAGTATCTACATGTTATTCATTTAATGTTCGTCTATTATTGGCTGGTAATTCCTGTTTCACCCTGCACTTAAGCTTTTCAAAGGAACCCTAGAAAGCTAACTTCAAGGGGGTAATGATAACATCGTTTACACTAGAATTATGATGTTTTTTTTAGCATATGTAAAATATAGAAGAAACAAATCACCTTTTCAATACCCCTACGACCTTCGCAGTACCTTATTTGGTAATCTACAAAAGGTTTGGATGCAATACACCAAGCCGTCTTTGTTGTAGGCTGGCAAGAGAATAATATGAAGAATTATACAAGAAGCCGCTCTGATCGGATTTTCTTTTCCTTTTAAGTCTAACATCCTTGCATTTTGTGCATTTATATATATATGTACAGCCATAGCTGTCACTAGCAAATGTTTTAAATGTTGTTTAAACTGGATCTTTACTGTTTAAGGTGCTTTTTGCTCGAACGTTCTATTACGTTTTGTGTAATTCCTTGCGATCACTATCATGAACCACTTGTTACAATGCGCCTTTTGAACTAAACACGTAGATAAATATACTTTTAGATTGTTTATAGAAATCAAATGTACTGAAACAAAAATCTCTCATTGTATGATCGATTGAATGGTAATTTACCCTTATAATAAAAACAAACAAACATCGCAAGTCAGATTTTGTTAGATATCGAACGATATCTTTACTTGAGAAAAGCAGGTGTTCGTGTCCGTTTATAACTGGCGAATAACTGAACCAATTGTCATCAAACTTAATATGTACCCTTTAAGTCGCCATGTGAGTGATGTAGTTGAATTGGCGTTCGGATCTGGTCACCCTGGAGAGTGTTTCATCCTTGTGAGTTGAACGGATACGTCAGCTAGTACGTATGTTAAGTAAAGCAAAGGCATTAAAATTGTGATAGTGGTTCAACAACGGGAAACTTACTAAATATACATAAACTTATTTATTTCTTCGTTAGTGAAACATGAAACTACCAGTTGAAACTCAGATATCATGCTATAAATATGTATGAATATAAACAACAGATGTAGTAATAATCCATATAATTGTTATCGAATAGATTTTAAGATACTGTGTTTTGATTTTCGTATTTATTTATAAATTACATAATACACAGACATTGCCGAGGTACTTAAGAGAAAATTGACGATAGCAAAAACACTGCAATAGACCTAGCATGGCCTGGTGGTTATGGCGTTCGATTCGCAATATGAGGGTCGCGGATTCGAATCCCCGTCACACCAAACATGCTTGCCTTTTCAGCAGTGGGGGTGCTATAATGTGACGGTCAATCCAACTATTCCTTAGTAAAAGAGTAGCCCCAGAGTTGG